TGTTTGTCTCTGTTTCCCTGTGTGTCTCTATGCCTTGAATACATTTTTAAAAGAAAATTTTTAAAGCTGTATAAAAAGAAAAAAAGTAGGCAGTTAGAGCAGCTGTGGGAAGTTAAGTTAGATGGATTCAATAATCCACCTCCCACTCCTCCGGAGCTGCAGTGGGCAGATGAAAGGAGCAATCAGAAGCTCACCTGCAGTTCATTTATCCTTACAGAAGGGAGAAGCAATGGCCTCTTGCTGCGCCTGGACAGAAAGGCAGGTGCTAAAAAGAGAACAGGATGTTGCCCTACTTGGGACTTCAGTCCTGGAAATAATTGACCTGCTCTTTGGGCCACAGGAATTCCCCACTAGATCCTGGGTCCTGGACAACTAATCCCAATTTGCTTCCTTCCAAACCAGCAATGTCTCATTAGCCTAAAAAAAAAAAAAAAACCACAGCTCCAGCAAACACAAGGCCAAAAAGGATAGGGGCAGAAATGGACAGCTGAATAGTGAGACAGATTTACAGACAGGGCTCAAGCCTAGGCATCTATAACACCATCTTCTTTCCCTTACTTTGTTCAAAATCTGTTTTCCATTCGATTGCACTGTAAGCACATTCAGCCAGACATCTTACCTTCCAACTGCCCTCCCACCAATTCCCACCAGTTCCCACCACCATAGCTTACACAAGAAAGCCTGCCAATATCTGGACTTCACAGGTCATTTTGCACTAACTTACAAAAGATGAGCTCTTTTGTAAGCCACTGTATTTTGCAGTTATGTCATCAGTGAATCTCAAGTCTAGTCTGGATGAGAGTGCTGTAGCTATTACTCAGCTCTAACAGTCACAGCTGCCCCTGCTTCATTCCTCCCCCATGAAATCAGAGAAATAAAGAAGCTGAAGTGGGGGCTTCAACAAGCTAATGTAAAGACTACTTACACTTAGAATCTTCACATACAGAACTGAAGCTGATGAAGGCTGCTAAGTGTAATACTGCCTCCACAGCAGCCTGTCTGTGCATTATTCTTAGAGACTCATTCCTCAGTTTGCTGTCCTGGTACAGCAGCTTGGGATGCCTCATAATCCTCCATGGGAGGACCATTATTCAAACTAGTCTTATTCCTATTTAGCTATTTACAGTCCATCTAGGATACAAACTGAGTGATTAGGATATGAGAACAGGGCTGGCACCGCGGCTCACTAGGCTAATCCTCCGCCTTGCAGCACCGGCACACCGGGTTCTAGTCCCGGTCGGGGCGCCGGATTCTGTCCCGGTTGCCCCTTTTCCAGGCCAGCTCTCTGCTGTGGCCAGGGAGTGCAGTGGAGGATGACCCAAGTGCTTGGGCCCTGCACCCCATGGGAGACCAGGATAAGTACCTGGCTCCTGCCATTGGATCAGCGCAGTGCTCTGGCCGCAGTGCGCCAGCCGTGGCGGCCATTGGAGGGTGAACCAACGGCAAAGGAAGACCTTTCTCTCTCTCTCTCTCACTGTCCACTCAGCCTGTCAAAAAAAAAATAAATAAAGATATGAGAACATATCTGTGTTTTTCCATTAGTTGTCCTAGAAAAAATTTCTGTTTATAAACTGTTTTTGCTCCAACTTAGGTTTTCCAAAGTATTGATATTTAAATCAGATTCTCAGTAAACAGAGATTTAATAAGCTTCCCGATCTAAAAGTAGCAAGCAACATTGCTCTGCCCCTGCACATTATTCATCTTCTGTTCTTCAACCAGTGATCTAACCTCTAAAAGTCATAAAGCATTAGAATTAGTTAACACTCACTGGCTATTATCCTTTACTCACTGATCAATGCATAACTTTCAAATCTGCAAGAGGCACACAATATTCATTTAGCCACAGCAGGAACAGTCAAGTGACCACTGTAGAGATATCAAGTTCAACACAACCTGGAAAACCTGCCTGCAAGGCTGCACAACATAGCTATTAAAACTCTTAAATCTACATTATTACATATGGAAACTAAGAGAAATATTACAAAAGATGTTTACTATACTCTTAATAATGACAGATAAATGCTCAGAAGCAATCTAAATGTACTACAGAGATTATTTCATAAATTCATGTATATGAACCTGGTAGAATAGTCATTAAACTATTAAAAATTACAATTTCTGTGAAAATTCAGAAATATTTGCTATAGTTCCCTTGCCAAAAGGAAAATATTAAATGACATGTATCATTCTACTAGAAAAATAAAAAAGAAAGTTAAAGGTAGGAAAAGAGTTACAGTTTACAAAGGAAAGTACATAAGTTACCCAGCATTTTAACAGTGGGCCTACCATCAGTTAGGATCAGGATCAAGTTCTATAGCTAAAATGGTTGAAAATACAAGACAGAGATGGCTTCTGCCTTCATGGGATTTAGTTTTTTTACATGGTGAAAATAATTGTTATGTGAATACATACTATTCTTTAAATAATAATAAAGCTTTTTTATTACTGTATTCTAGACTTTTATCTGGCCAGATATATGTTACAAAACCTATGATTTTGGTATAGATGTAAAAAAATGATAACTATAGCTCCAAACATTAGCAGTGCATAACCACTAATGCTGTCCTTTCCCGTTCATTCTGTAGAGGCCATCCTGTGTGAGTTTCATGTGGAATGGCTCTCCCTTCTTTCCAGAGGCTCCCTAACTATGCCTCAGCCAAATGGCTGGCATGGCTGAGCCACCGTCCATCCCAGAACGGAAAGTAGAAGGTGCTATCCATGATAGCAAGAGATCAGCCACCTCCACACTCCCTCAGGGTAACCTGTATTCCTAAGGAGCAAGGAAATGAAGTGACTGCTGTCACATCCCCTCAGATGAGTACCAACCTGGCCAGAAGTCATACATGCACAATGTGAAATTTCATGTGCAGAAACAGCTTGTCAAGGATGCTGTACTCTGCCCAGGGATTTCTCCAGGGTAAGCTCTATGGAAGTAAGGAAGCTGCAGCCACACCATGAATCAGGAACCTGAGAGCCTCCTTTTGTGGAAATAATACTGTCCTTTCCCTTTACAGCTAGGTTTGGACTTGCTACTTGGGTTTTCAAAACTAATGGAATATATTGCTTAGAAATAAAAACATAACTGATAAAACTATAGGAAAAAAAGAACGATGAGAAGAATATGATTGTGGAGAGTCATGGAGAGGAAAACTCCCAGCTATTTAAAGTGCTATCCATGAACCAGGAGCACTAACATCACCTTCAAGTGTCGCTCGCTCCGCAGGCTTGCGGAGGAGCGGCAATGGATTTGCTGTTGTTTCTTTCCCTGGTCCTCCCCAGATTAGCTGCCCCCCCCCCCCGGCCTCCGTGGAGGAGCGGCACACCGCCTGCCAGCTCTCTCAGGGGTTCCTCAGATGTTCCTCCTGCATGTTGTCTCTCTCCTCCTTTATAGTCCTCTTCCACCAATCCCAACTCTGCTGGCGTTCTCTCCCCACGCGCTGAGCATGCTGCTTTCCTCCAATCAGGGGCAGGATCAGCTCCTGCAGCTTGTTAGTCGAATTGGTGAGGCAGCTGTGTGGAAGCTGTTCCCTCCCTCTCAGCGCCATAGGGTGGGAGATCAGATGCATAGAGTTAGTCTTAATAATCTCAGTGGTCTAGTCCAGTCTCGGTAGTTTCAATACTTATTTGTCTCCCAGGTGATGGGCCCTGCCATGTTATGGGAGATGGGCCCTGTTCCCCACATTCAAGTCTGTTAGAAATGCAGAATCTGGCATTCTAACTGCAAACTGCTGAATCAGAATCTGTATTTAATAAGATCTCTGGGAATTTCATATCTATTAAAATTTTGGAGTAACTGGCCTAAGTACTTGTAATATATATATATATATATATATATATATATTGACAGGCAGAGTGGACAGTGAGAGAGAGAAACAGAGACAGAGAGAAAGATCTTCCTTTGCCGTTGGTTCACACTCCAATGGCCGCCGCAGCTGGCACTACGGCCAGCGCACAGCGCTGATCTGAAGGCAGGAGCCAGGTGCTTCTCCTGGTCTCCCATGGGGTGCAGGGCCCAAGCATTTGGGCCATCCTCCACACTGCACTCCCAGGCCACAGCAGAGAGCTGGTCTGGAAGAGGGGCAACCAGGACAGAATCCGGTGCCCTGACCGGGACTAGAACCTGGTGTGCTGGCGCCACTAGGCGGAGGATTAGCCTATTGAGCCGCGACGCCGGCCTGTAATATATTTTTATACCTAAGTTGATACACTTAGTATTAGCCTCTAGAAAGTAAATACATACTTTGTACAAACTCCTAATTATGGGATACATCTCAAACCCATCCTATTAATGGACCTGTGGTCTGCAAACCAATAAGCAAGAAATGTTTAAAAGGTAGGGGAAAGAATGCTACATGAATCTGATCTTCAGAGATGACACACATTTTTATAAGAAATGAACAGCTTCATTTTACAGGAAATGAAACCCTTTTACTCAGAAAGGGGCATGCTCTCCCCAAGGTCAGACTGCTAAACTACTTCAACAAAGTCAGAATAGAGCTCAAGTCTCCCATCCCCAGTAATGTTCTATATCCTTCCAGAACACTGGTTTAATACATCATGACTGACTAAACATGATTTGTTTCCTTTCTAAACAAATGGTCAAGCTAAAAAAGAAATCAGCATTAAACTAAAAAATAAATAGTAACATTATTTTTAAAACCTGTACCTAGTATATTTAATAATAGATGCCTATATATGTTTGTTTCAATGATTAATTTTGAGGTAGACAAACATTGTTATCAACATTTTCTTAGAGGGTTGACCCAACTTACACAAAGATAAGTAATTTCCTTATGGAAAAAAACCAAAGAGCTTCAATCCAATAACTTACAATATTCTTTTCCAAAGATATGCAAAATCACCCTTATACTTTCATCAAAATCAGAGAATATTTAGATGTTTATTATTTAGGTATTAGTTACGCAACTTCAATGATATAAGTATCTAAAGTAAGACTTTCAAAATTATTACTTAGGTTAATGAAGGTAAGTTGTACTCACCAATACTAATTTCATCATCTGTTTCAGCATCACCAATGCATTCAAACTGGAAATCTTGTAGTGACTGAGAAAATTTCTGTACAGCCATAGACAAGTCTGCAATTGAAAAAACAAAATCAGACAAAAGGTATCAAGGAATGAACACTGAAGAATTTCTATTCACAATATTATATAAATTACTTTAGTGTTATATTAAACAGAAGCTTCTTAAAATACCAATCTGGGGTCAGGCATGTAGCCTGGTGGTTAAGGTGCCAGTTAAATGTTCATGTCAGTCAGTGCTGTGGTATAGTGGGTTAAACTGCCACCTGTAATGCCAGAATCCCATATGGACACTTGTTCAAGTCCCGGCTGCTCCACTTCGAATCCAGTTCTCTGCTAATGTGCCTGAGAAAGCAGCAGAAAATGGCCCAAGTCCTTGGGCCCCTGCAACCACATGGGAGACCTGGATGAAGCCCAGCCCTGGCTGATGCAGCCATTTGGAGAGTAAACCAGTAGATGGAAGATCTCTCCCTGATTCTGTAAAATTTGACTTTCAAATAAATAAATAAATCTAAAAAAAAAAAAAAATTCCAGGCCGGCACCGCGGCTCACTAGGCTAATCCTCCGCCTGCGGCGCCAGCACCCCGGGTTCTAGTCGCAATTGGGGTGCCAGTTCTGTCCCGGTTGCTCCTCTTCCAGTCCAGCTCTCTGCTGTGGCCCGGGAGGCAGTGGAGGATGGCCCAAGTGCTTGGGCCCTGCACTTGCATGGGAGACCAGGAGGAAGCACCTGGCTGCTGGCTTCGGATCGGCATAGCGTGCCGGCCGTGGAGACCTTTCTCTCTGTTTCTCTCTCTCACTAACTCTGCCTGTCAAAAAAAAAAAAAAAAAAAAAAATCCTCATGCAGTCGTGCTCTGCGCCCTCTCTTTATGCCCAGATCTAGCTCTTGACTCCAGCTTCCTACTAATGCACACCCTAGAAGGAAGTACTAATGGCCCAAGTAGTTGTGTTCCTGCCCACTATGTGGAAGACCTGGATTGAGTTCCTGGCTCCTGACTTCGGCCCCAAGGCACAGACCCAGCCATTGCAATCATTTGTGAAGTGACCCAGCAGATTGGAGCTTTCTGTCTCTTTCTCTGCCTCTGCCACCCTCCCCAACTCCACTGTCTTTCAACCTCTCACACAAATGAAATAAATAAAATAAAATACAGGTCTGTCAACTTTAAGCAAATAATTGAGAAACTTGATCTGCTCTACTTGAATGGGATGTCCATGTGAGAAAACAATTTGGTGCTAGAAGTACATTATTCAGAAGCCAATTTACCAAATCCTTTACTAAGGAGTTACTACTCACTCACTATAAATTATGCATTTAACTTTAAAAAAGAAGGAGACATACCACTAAAGTTGCTAACTGGGGAGAAATTTCAACTGTTGATCACTAACAGTCAGCACTGAAATTCTGGGCAGACTGTGGAAAAGGTAGATTGTGTTTTTACCAATAAAATAATGGCTTTGATCTAAAAGGTGACAGATGACCTAACGTTTAAAAATAGTTCTTTGATTTATAGGAGATTCAAGCTAACTATATTTCCCAACCCTGACTTCAGTTTGAATAAGGCCCAGAGTCTGACTAAGCCCAGAAGAAGAATTCTTTATTTCTGGGCATAAAAAAGAAAAGCCTAGAAGAAAACAAGAACTAAATCCCCAGGAGGCAACAGCCTTAGAAGCAACCTAACAAAGTGACCAGGAATGTGGAAGCTGGAGCCAGGCTGCTTGGGTGAAATCCAAGCCACACCACTTATTTGCTTGGGTCCTTGGGCAAAAAGGGTTCAACTCCTCTGGGCCTTTGCTTCCTCATACGTAAACGGGGAACAACAATCACAGAACCACCTCATAGGACTGTTTTGAGTATTTGGTGAGTTAATATTTGCAAAGGGCTCGAACCATTGCCTGGCAATGCATAGATACTAGTTAAGTTTCTTAAAGAAAATTGAAGAGGGTGTTATGGCATCTGCAGTGCCAGCATCCCATATCGGCCCCTGTTGAAGTTCCAGCTGTACCTCTTCCAATCCAGCACCCTGCTAACGTGCCTGGGAAAGCAGCGGATGCTTGTGCCCCTGCATCCATGTGAGAGACCCGGAAGAAGCTCCTGGCTCCTGGCCTCAGATTGGTCCAGCTCCGGCCATTGTAGCCATTTGGGGAGTAAACCAGCAGATGAAAGGAATCTCTCTCTGTATCTTCCTCTCTGTAACTCTGCCTTTCAAATAAATAAATAAATCTTTAAAAAAAAAAAAAAAAGAAAGAAAGAAAATTCAAAATGAAACAACCTCATAGTGAATGTGAGAGAAACATTAAAGGTCTCACATTTCAGGACCAATCATCATTGATGGTGATCCTGCTGCAGGTATCTACATCAATAATAAATTGTATTCTTCTATATTCATTGCACTCCATTTAACAACATCTCCACTGAACAAGCTCACGTCCAATACCCGGACACTTATGTTTAATTCAAGCAACAAGAACTGACAAAGGTTATCTCCTTGATGAATTTTCAAGTGTTCTTCCCAACCAGGTCTCCACCTTGGTCCCCATCCTCACTGGGCTTAATCTGAACAAGAATCCTGCTAAGTAATTTTACAGAGAATCCCCACACTCCACATCTGTCCAAAGTCCTCATCACGCATCTTTGATGCGTAACAGAACTCTCTGGCCTGCCCTCAGTAACAGTCCTCCTATCCTTGATGTCTCCTCTCAGTCATTTTCCACCAGCTCTGTTGGCCCCCAACCTGCTCTCTGGCTATATAAATCCCCTCCCACAGCAAGGTACAACTTCGGGACCAGCTGCATGTTCCACACGAGAGGTACTCTCAATTCATGAGCATGGTTCTGCTTTAGGCTGCCAAGAAGAAAGTAGAGAACCTACTTAGAGAATTAATGATTGAACAAGAAAAATGAGGGTTTTGTCAGAATTAGATTTCACCAATTAGTTGTGAAGCCTTGGAAAATCACTCATCCTTTTTGAGACTAATTTTCTTACCTGTAAAATGGAATGAATACCTACCTCACAGGGTATTACGAAGACTAAATAATGTATGTGCCTGGCACATGCTAAGCAACTCAATAAATGGCATCAGTTATTATAATTCAGTCCAGCTTATAAAGGTAGGAAAGTTGACTGGCCTTTCAGATTGAAGGACACTGTGCAAAAGCATGCATTTATCCGACACAGCTCTGGCTAAGGACAGAAAAATCATCATACATATATTAAATGTTATGAGAAGACCTAGAAAGAAACCTACCTCCTAGAAAATTTTTAGCCAGTCTATATGCGAGTACTCTCCCTGAGACTTGGGAAAATCATTACATTTAACGTCTCTTTATTTTTATTCAAATGAGTATAACAGAAAGGCCTTGTGCTCTACTGGGTTTATAGCCACAAATATAGTTCCTTTAGCACAGCTGAGACTGGGAGAAAGAGGTGCAGCAGAATGCTTAGGAACTGGGGTTCCTCCTTTCCTCTTCTCACTACCATCCAGAGTTCCTCTGAGCCTCAAGCCCCAAGGAGCTATTTGGAAAGTCTGTCCTAGGGAGCTCCTGATGTAACCATCCCACCCCCATTTCTCTGTAGATTGTCTTTTTTTAAAAAAACATTTATTTATTTATTTGAAAGTCAGAGTTACACACAGAGAGGAGAGGAAGAGAGGCAGAGAGAGAGAGAGAGAGAGGTCTTCCATCTGCTGGTTCACTCCCCAACTGGCCGCAATGGCCAGAGTTGCGCTGATCTGAAGCTGGGAACCAGGAGATTCTTCCTGATCTCCCACGTGGGTGCAGGGACCCAATGGGCCATCTTCTACTGTTTTCCCAGGCCATACCAGAGAGCTGGATGGGAAGTGGAGCAACGGGGTCTTGAACTGGCACCCATATGGGATGCTGGTGCTTCAGGCGAGGAAGTTAACCCTAGACTGTCTCTTACTCGCCTTAGCCTTACTACTTGACTGGGAAAAGTAAGTTTCTTTCTCTTTCACACAGATCATCATGAATGTATGATAATAATTCATGTGCCAAAGCAAAAAACACAGTGGACCCACTCACTTATAAACTACCCATCAATTCTCTCAAGTGATTGACAGAATGAGCTCTGGAGGCAGTTTATCTGGATTAGAATCCAGAGTCCACCAATAATTAGCAGCATGGTTGTGGGTAAGCTCCATAATCTCGCTGTACCTCAGTATCCTTTTCTGTTAAGTGGAACAGAATCTGTCTCTCAGGGTTACTGTAGTAGTAAATGGAGCAATATACGGAAAAAACTAGCACAGTGTCTGATGCCTAAGTGCCTGACAACACTCAAGCATGCTGGCTATTCCCTCAGTGAACAGCTCAGAAAAGCAACAAAAAGGTGAAATTCCAGTTGTCAGGGGATAACTATTAGACTTTAGAAAACCTCGGAAGGTGTCCAAGAAAACATCCTCTTAATAGCAATTTCAAATTTTCTATTGAAAATAGCATAGCAAAGTGATCAAACCATGAAGAAATGCCAGAAATGGAATTCAACTGATTGTAAGATTACTTAGAAGTAATCAAAAGTAAATGCATGAACTAATGAAATTTTTACATGACATGAAAGAAAATTTCTCACACAAAATTGATATCTTAAAGAGAAGTCAAACTGAAATCTTGGAAATGAAGGATTCAATAGAACAAATAAAAATGCAGTGGAAACCCTTAACAACAGAAGTAGTGATGCAGAAGAAAGAATATCTGACATAGAAGACAAATAGCAGGAAATTATACAATCAGGCCAAAAATAAGAAGAAATTAGAAAACTAAAACACACTGTTTTGAACGGACAGGATACTATAAAACAACTCAACATACAGGTTCTAGGAGCTACTGGAGGCATGGAAAGAGAGAAAGGATTAGAAGGCCTTTTTAGGGAAATAATAATAGAAAGCATTCCTAATTTGGAGAAATAACGGGACATCCAAGCACAAGAAGCACATGGAACTACGAAGAGACATGGCCAGAAAAGATCTTCAACATGACACATTACAGTCAAACTCCCCACAGTAATACATACAGAAAAGATTCTAAAATGTGTACAAAAGAAATG